AGAAGATAGCCAATCTAGACGTAGAACGAACTCCAAACAGGATAGACCACAAAAGAATAACATCAAGACACATTATAATTAAACTTTTCAAATACAAAGACAAGGAAAGAATTCTGAGAGTAGCTTGGGAAAAATTACCTACAAAGGAGAACTAATAAGACTAAATACTAATTTCTCAGCAGAAACAATGCAAGCAAGATGAGCTGACATACCTAAAACTCTGAAAGGAAAAAAAAAAAAAAAATTACCAACCAAGAATCACACATCCAGCAAAATTATCCAGCAAATATGGTGAAATTAGGTCATTTTCAGACAAACATAACTTAAAAGAATATGTAAAGACCAAATCAATCTTACAAAAACAAAACAAAACAAAACAAAACCTAAAGGGTGTTCTTTGGACAGAGAACCAACAGTAGCAGACAAAAACCTGACATTAATATATATGACAATATCACCTAGACTCAACCCAGATATAAAATTCCGCAAAGCAAAACAGACCTATAAGACTGAAAAAAGAGAAAATCAGAGATACAGCTGCAACAAGAACAAAGCAAAGAGGGAATAGTCCAGTTACATAATTTCCAAATGAAGATGAAATCAGATGTTGCTGTTAGGTGCCATTGAGTTGATACCAACCCATAGTGACCCTATGCACAGCAGAATGAAGCACTGCCCGATCCTGGGCCAACCTCACTACTGTTGCCACGCTTGAGTCCATGGATGCTGCCACTTGGCCAATCCATCTTGTTGGGGGGTCTTCCTCTTTTTCTCTGACCCTCCACCTTACCAAACATGATATTCTTCTCCAGTGACTGGTCCTTCCTGAAAATATAGCCGAAGTATGAGAGATGAAGTTTGGCCATCTTGGCCTCCAAGGAGCACTCTGGCTGCACTTCTTCCAAAACAGATCTTTTGGTTCTTTTGGCAGCCCATGGCACGTTCAATATTCTCCTCCATAACTCAAAAGCATCAATTCTTCTATAGTCTTCCTTATTCACTGTCCAGCTTTCACATGCATATGAGGTTACTGAAAATACCATGGCTTGGGTCAGGCGCTCTGAGTCCTCAAGCTGACATTTTTGCTCTTTAACACTTTAAAAAGGTCTTGTGCCGCAGATTTGCCTAATGCAAATACATCGTTTGATTTTTGGACTGCTGCTTCCGTCAATGTTGATAGCTGATCCAAGAAGAATGAAGTCCTTGACAACTTCAATCTTTTCTCCGTTGAAAAGAATGTTGTTTATTGGTCCAGTGGTGAGGATTTTTGTTTTCTTTACATTGAGATGTAATCCATACCAGAGGCTGTGCTCTTTGATCTTCATCAGTAAATGTTTTAAATCCTCTTCACTTTCAGCAAGCAAGGTTGTATCATCTGCATATCACAGGTTGTTAATGAGTCTTCCTCCAATCCTGATGCCATGTTTTTCTTCATAGAACCCAGCTTCTCGGATTATTTGCTCAGCATACAGGTTGAATAAATATGATGAAAGAATACAACCTTGTCGCACACCTTTCTTAATTTAAATCAGATAGATTTCAAGAAAATAAATAAAAATCAACCTAATTGTAACCCTAAATACTAGATCAAGTCTTACTAGGCCAACCTTCATCCCTAACACGAACCCTAATCCTAACTATACTGTTTTTGTTGTTAAGTGCCTTCAAGACTACTCTGACTCACATCAAACCTCCACTGACCATGCAGTTGACAGTCCAGTGCTTATCCTACTGTGCTACACAAGGACTCCATAACTCTAAGAGTAAACTAAGTCCTAAGCCTACCTGGTGTGGCACTGTGGGTTCATGTGCTGGATTGCAAAGTCATTTGAACTGTAAGGTTGGCGGTTCAAGCTCACCAGCTGCTCCTTGGAAACCTTATACAGGGTCACTATGGGTCAGAATCGACTCAACAGCAACAACTACAAAGGCCTACTCAAGACCTAGTCACAATCCCAACCTTAACTGTCACTCCTTACTCCTATCCACCTACCCAAGACCCCAAAAGAAAGTAATTACTTTAACTCAAAGTATGTCAGGTTTGAAAAGATACTTGGAGATCACTGCACAGTCCATCTATCTCATCTTATAGACAAAATATTTGACCCAGAGAAAAGTGACTCTCTCACTGTCATTCAGTGGCAGTAAAGGAATTATAGGTCTTCTAGTTTCACTCAAGGGCTACTTGATTTCTATACATGCTCATATCTTATAAGTTGTTACAAAACAATTTCTATGTTCAAGGTCATTCTATGATGATATAAAAGAAATGTGAAACTAGTAGCAGTTTGCTTAGTATTTAAAATGTATAAATGATCACCAGCAGATATGGTAGATTCATATTGATATGGTCTTGGAATGAATTAAGACTTAGAGACCCCAGTTACTCATGGAATACAGTTATTGTTGTTAGCGGCTGTTGATTTATTCCCAACTCATGGCAACCCCAAACGTATCATTGTGTTTGTTTTCCAGAGTAGATTGCCAAGCATATTTCCTTAGTGTGTCTTAGTCTGGAAACTCTGCTGAAGACTGTTCGGCATCATAGCGACATGCAAGCCTTCAAGAACAGAAAACTGGTGATGGTACTTGAGGCACAAAGACTGGGAATTGAACCTGGGTCCTCCTGCATGGAAGGCGAAACTCTACCACTGAACCTCAACTTTTACTTATAGATAAGCATTTCTCAGTGGCATTTCAGGAATGAGCTAAACCAAACTTGCTGCAATTGAGTCAATTCTAACACATAGAGACCCTATGGGATAGAACAGAACTGTTTTATAGAATTTTAAGACTATAAACCTTTACAGGAACACATCACCTCATCATCTTTCTTGCACAGAACTGCTGGTAGATTTGAACCACTAACCTTGTGGTTAGGAGTCCAGCAACACTAGAGCTCCTTCCTAAAAAATGCTGCTTTTTCAAAATGCCATTGAGTTGATTCTGACTCATAGTGACCCAGTATAAGGTTTCTTAGGAGCAGTTGGTAGGTTTGAACCACCAACCTTTTGGTTAGCAGTCCAGGGTTTATCCTACAGCACCATTTGTTATTGCTGTTAAGTGCTGTCAAGAGGTTCCGACTCATAGTTGGATCCGACTGCATAGTTTTCCAAGAAGTGGCTGGTGAGTTTGAATTGCTGACCTTGTGGCTCAAACCGATCTACCACAGAGCCATACCAGGACATAAATCCAATTGAGATGTTTCTTAAAAATGAAAACTAATTGGTCCTATTTTAAGTATATTATCCAAACTTGCTCTCTGACGGGTAGGCCCAGAAATCTGCACTTTTGTTAAGTTTACCTGGTGATTGTTAGGCACATTAAAGTTTAAAAACTAATAGTCTGGAGAATTTTTGGTGTCAATACCCTTAACCCTCAGCTATCTTTGCAACTACAACCCACAATAGATCATGAGGAAAAGTTCCCTCTATTCAGAGGATGTAAGTAAAAACTAAGTTCAAGGTAAGGTAAGCATAGCCATTAATTTAAAAATGGTTTTACTGTACTAATCTACTCATGCTGAAAAAATAAAATAAAATAAACCAAATACATCAACCATGCAAATTCCTCCCGTCGCTGACAGTAACATGGAAGAATGGAATGGGCCCCAAATGGTGAAAGAATATAAGTGAACAAACACAACAAGTGATTCATTATATGGCTTTCAGTCATGAGAACACAGTTTTGCTTCAAAATGAATGCAAAGAGAAAAATGACTCTAGGAGTCATAAAGATAACTATTCTTCATGAATCTCTATAGAATTTTGATTAGCCAAGATACGAATATCCTGGGACATTATGGATAAATTTTACTATGTAGATCATCATTTTTCATTTTTGTAATATCTTTCTATTAAAGTGCTAAAAATACTTTACAAGCCTCTGTAAATTTGTATCGTTTTATCTTATACCATATGTCAAAGCTAATATTACACTACAGATGTTTCTTCTGAAACAACTCCACTATTCATTAAACATTACAATTTCTTGAATTGTAAGATTTTTATCTCAAAATGCTAGTCATTATGCTACAAATATATGAAACTAATAGATATTTTCTGTTACTAAACAATACAAAATTATTCCAAAATGAAAGAAATAGCTTACAATTTATATTGTTTAAACTTCCAGTTTAAATTACTAAGGTATTTTATAATCTGGTCAATACTATCTATTTATATACCCCTACAAACAGATTAGAGGGAGATACACGCCATCAGATGCTTAACAAGGGAAAAACTCCCCAACAAAAACAGAAACTTAAACAGCCTCTAAAACTTGATCCCTTTTAATTTCACTGTAAACCTACACATTGTGAAATATTTTATTTAATGCATTATAGACAAGAGTATATCTTAATAACTAAGTAATAAATCCTAGAAAAATAAAATAGAAATACAAAAATACATGAATCAATAGATGGTGTTCAATTTTTTGTGTTTTTTTAATGGGTAAAGAATTAGCTCAACCAAAAATCAGCCTACTAGCCTGATATAACTGCAAAATAATTTATCCTCAGATAAGAGGGCAGCATAGTTTATGACAACAATCTAACTAAAAACTCGTTTGTCTTTTCTCTTCGAATGACATGCATTATCATCAGGGATTAATCTGATGAATCTTTAGAAGAGTTTCATTTTTTAAAACGTAATAATAGAGGGCTTTGTTGTCATCTAGTGAAAATCAATTAGAGGGAGTAAGGGCACAAGGAAAACCAACATCACTCATCACCAATCCCCAGGAGTTGAAATGATTTGTCTTCCAAGCTTGGATGATCAGGAGCTATAGTTATAGTGCAAGGAAATTAATTTAGTTTCTATATTCTGAACTCACTTTCCTCATACTGGAGGATCCAAATAGAAATTACTTTTAATCAAGGTTGATATGTTATTGATACCCAGGTAGATTTTTGAAGAATCATTTTTTTAAATTGACTTTAGCATTTTTCACCTGTGTCTGGGGTACAACTATAGGAAGATAACTTATATTATCCTTACTTTCTGGAGTCTTTGTCCACTACAAGGCACTGTACTGAATGACGAAGACAATAGATTCCACCAAACACAGCACACATCCTAGAAAAAGAATAATAAAGATTAGGTTAAACTGGTATGTTGAAAATTAAGGTAATATTACTTGCTGTTAAGCAAATTATGTTTAATAATTAGTCTTACAGAAAAAAGGACTCTGTTAGTAATTTATTATTTTCTCTAAAATGGTATTAACAATCCCTCAGAGGTCAAGATTAGTCACATTCTAACCTTGTACAGCTGCAGTTTTTAAGCATCCAATGTTGAAGCTTAGAATTGTGACCAGGCCAAAAGTATCACTGATCAAGGGTTAAGCATCCCTCCAAAATTAGCAATGAATACCTACTGTACATAAGACTACAAACAGCCTCCAGAAGTAATACATGAGACACTCAGCAGAAGTCATACTTGTTGTTATTAGGTGACAATGAGTCAGTACTAACTCACAGCAATCCTATGCACAACAGAATAAAACACTGTGAGTTCCTGGGCCAACCTTACAATCGTTGCTACGCATGAGCCCATTGCTGCTGCCATTGTGCCACTCCATCTCACTGGGGGGTAGGAGGGGTCTTCCTTTTTTTCTTGGACCCTCCTCTTTATCCAATATGATATCCTTCTCCAGGGAATGGTCCTTCCTGATAATATGTCTGAAGTATGAGAGACCAAGTCTGGCTATCTTGGCTTACAAGGAGTAATCTGGCTATACTTTTTCCTACATGTATCTGTTTGTTCTTTTAGCAGTCCATGACACTTTCAATATTGTCCTCCAACACCATAAAACAAATGCATCAATTCTTCTACAGTCTTACTTATTCACTGTCCAATTTATGCATGCATATTGTTGGTTATTTGGTTATGTGCCCTGGAGTCGATGCCGACTCATAGCGACCTTGTATAGGGTTTCCAAGGCTATATATATTTACAGGACAGAAAGCCTCAACTTTCTCTTGCAGAATAACTGGAAGTTTCAAACTGCTGACCTTGAGGTTAGCAGTCCGACTTGTAACCACTATGCTCCCAGAACTCCTTATGAGGTTACTAAAAATACCATGGCTTCTCACCATAAGGTCAGCAGTTCAAACCTACCAGCTGATTTTTGAAAACCTTTTACAGGGTCGCTATAAGTGTGAACCAACCTGATGGCAATTAACAACAATCATTCACTGGTGTCAATGTAAGATAAGCACTAGATTGCTAAATGCAAGGTCAGCCATTGAAGCCGCAGGAGAAAGATGAGGCTTTCTGCAACCTAACATGTGCAGCCTCCGAAAGCCTATATTGGGTCACTATGCCAGGCAGTAGTTTGGTGGTGCTCCAGGAGAGCAGAGACCTCATTTGCCTAATGTCAGCAATGATACCCCTTGTTCCACATCCTCTTCTGAATCCTACTTGAACCTTTGGAAGTTCTCAGTCTATGTGTGGTTGCAGCCGTTTTTGTACTATCTTTAGTAAAACTTTACTCGCATGGGATATCAATGATATTGTCTGATGATTTTTGCATTCCATTGAGTAACCGCTCTTTGGAATGGGCACAAATACAGTTCCTTTCCAGTCAGTTGGCCAGTACTTGTCTTCTAAATTTCTTGGCATAGATGAGTGAGTGCCTTAGTCCGCATCATTTAGTTGAAAGATTTCAATTTGTATTCAATAGATATCCCTGGTGTCTTGTTCTTTGCCAATGCCTTCAATGTACCTTGGACTTCTTCCTTCAGGATCATTGGCTCTTGATCATATGCTACCTCTTCAAATGGCTCAACATCGACCATTTCCTTTTGGTACATTAACTCTGTGTATTCCTTCCATCCTCATTTGATGCTTTCTGAATCACTGAATACTTTGCCCATAGAATCCTTTAATAACACAAGACGAGGTTTGACTTGGAACAGACCATCAATTGCTCATATACAAGTACAGACTGAAGTTGAAGAAAATTAAAGTCCATGAAAGCCAAAATATGACCGTGAGTATATCCCACCTGAATTTAGGGACCATCAGCAAGAACTTCGAGCAGCAGCGAGACGTGTAGTGTGGAGCTCCAACAACAACACGGAATACTGAGCCACAAGGCTGTTTAACTTTTTTTGTTTGTTTGTTTGTTTGTTTTAACCACTACACTACCAGGACTTCATTGAAGATGGCGGATCGGGTGGATGTGTAGTGAGGAGCTC